CAATCACAAGATTATGCAACGAAATCCTATATGGATAAATCATTGAGAGAATTTTTGGAAAAATTTAAAACAGATTCTGAAAACCAGAAAAAAGTCACTGGGTCACCCTCACAAGAATTATCTGGAAAGTATAAGCAGATAGAATCTTTAATCAAAGATAATCAAAAGAAAATTGAAACTTTGACAAATAAAGAGCCACTCGTTTGAAAATGATTTAAAACAGTGAATTCTCAATGAAAGAAAGTCAAAAGAAAATTGAAAGTTAGCCACTATGAACCAATCGATTGGCACTGATATCAAAAACAAATTGGCTCCAAGAATAGCTGCCTTGGAAGAACAACATAAGTTATTTAATATAACACCTTCATATATAAGTATTGGTGACAAGAGAATAGTCAGAGCTTCCAAAGCTATAAACGATAACGATTTAATCACGAAAGGTCAGGTGATCAAAATGATTAACGAGAAGCATCCTGTTTTACCAGCAGCAGTGGCGAATAAAAAGGGAAAAGGAAAGGGAAACTAAAGATGAAGACTAGAACGGGAATCAAACTGGAATCACACTACTTGCTATTTATTTAGTTTATGCTCATAGGAAAAAGTCAATGTTCTTGATGGTTTCAATAAATTAATTTTACGGGAAGCCTGGGAACTTTTTTGATACTGTGGGAAAATCTCCTAGATCGGCGGCGCCTTTAATTTGAAGTTTTCGAAGGTTTGACCTAGGCGAACCCCAATTTTGAGATTTAAAATGGATCCGAAATGGGATGGAGTTATTATCATCAACTTCCAGATTTGCAAATGCGACCAGCAACATGCAAATTGGAAAAATTGTTCCAAAACCAGTGTATCAAGAATATAATATTGGAGACATTGTGCAAATCTATTTATAATCCTGAGAAAACGGACATTGTCTTACACCACAAGAACGAAACTTCTATACCCATTCACCTTCAATGAATTTGAGGAATTTTTTACAAGTTTCTCGATAATGTAAATGATGGTTGGTATGATGTAAATTTCTACATTGGAGAATTCATTTATGTTAGCTATTGGAATGAGGAAGAAAGTAAAGGTCTGACTATGGTGGATATGCGAACAATGGGAAAAAATTTATTGGAATGAAAATCATCTTGATTTAATTCTAGAACATAAATATAACCTGTATGATATTTTTCCTTAAAATAAAAAATTGAAATAAAAAATTATTCTGGCTATTTCTTTTTCTCCTTATACCAAAACCACAATAAATATCCCATAAATAAAATAACTACCTATGTAGAAATATAAAGTGTTTTTTATTATCAATATTTCTACAACAAAAAAAATAATAAATTCCTCCTGAATCATTATGTCTTGATCTTGTTGATGCGTTTTGACGTTTTCCTCGATGCCGTTAACTCTAAAAATTGAAAATGTTTTTAGTATCTATTAATTTAATAATTTATATGGTATACTTACAATTCAACAATTTTGAAAATTGGTGTTGGATTCAGGCCTTTAATATCTCGCATGCCTTTAAATTTCAATCCAAATTTCCCAGCCTCGAAGTGCTGAATGTTTTGTTTAATTGAATCGGTTGCACGTTGAGGAAGAAAGGTAATGTTTTTATCCATTTCTACTCGGGCTACTTCTCCAAATTTTGAATTCACTATAGTCACACCCCGAATTGGATAGGGATGCTCTGGAGTCAAATCTTGTAGCTTTAAGTAGGACTTTTCCTCAAGACAGGCTGCTCGGTTAATTTGGGGTAAATCCATGATTCTATTATTAAACTAAAAATAGAACAACGTATTATTATCAGGGTCTTTAAGAATAATGAAAAAAATTACTTACATAGTTTTTAGCACTAAATACACACAATCAATTATAATTGAGGTAACGCCAATTTTGAATTAAGTTTTCGTTGAAAAATTCGATCTGGATGAGGAGCACTGAAGAAAAACGTTGTGTCACCTCTAGGGACGTTAAAATCTAACTAAAATTTGAAAATGAATAACAACAACTAGCAGGCCAGCCAGCTGCGTTTCGTTATCGTCGCAGGAAATGCGGCTTCCGTGTGATAAGCAAGTTCGCACACAAGTTGCTGTTCTTCTTGTTGTTTGTTTATAGAGAACGGTAGAAATTATAATTATTTTAAAAATAATATTTGGGGCCCCCCAATTAATCGTTACAAGTCCGTGAAAAATGGGACCCAAATTGGAGCACTATTTTTTCAATGATGATGATGATGATGATGATGTTGTCTTTTATGTGACCATATTTTTAGTTTAGGAAAAATGGGGCCGACGACGACGAAAAAAGGGGCCCAGTACGGCGTATCTTGGTACGAGGTACCAGGTACGAGGTACCAGGTATGAGGTACCAGGTACGAGGTACCAGGTACGAGGTACCAGGTACGAGATACGCGGTATCAAATTTCAGTTTATGAGTTCTAGGTACGTTGTACAAATTTCAAATTACCAGCACGAGATATATGGGACATCAAATTTCAGGTTATGAGTTCTAGGCTACGTGCGCCTCAAAATTTCGGGGGCCTGTATTGGTTCCATATACGATAATGGATAATGGGGCCGCGGGTCTAGCTGCGGAGACAAGTGGCCCCTTTTCCGATTTTTCCCCTAGATTTAGGGAATTTTATTGGTAACGTCGCACATTATTAGTTTCGACAACGTCGCACGTACCTGTCATCTCGTATGGGGTATCTCATTTCAGGTTATGCAGTCATGTAAATGGGGGCCCCCGAAAAAAAATGGGGCCACGGGTCTAGCAGCGGGGACAAGCATGTGGCCCCTTTGATGACGTCACTTATTGGGTTAGGTCTATTCAAATTGGGGGCTTGCTACTTAGGTTAGGCCTCTTTAAATTGGGGCTTGCCAAAAAAATGGGGCCCCACGAAAAAATGGGGCCACGGGTCTAGCAACGGGGACAAGCATGTGGCCCCTTTGATGACGATCACTTGGGTTAGGCCCCTCCACCTTGACGAAAAATGGGGCCCACCGGAAAAAATGGGGCCCTGGAATGGGGCACAGGCTCACCTGGGTTAGGCCCCTTCAATTTGGGACTTCTCTGATGACGGGCGCGGGCCCCACGACGAATGACAGGTCACTTCCGCTCGGGAACTCTCCTAGTATATCTACTACCGACAACTTACAAATAAATAACCAGAATAATGCGACAATTTCGACACATATGTCCAAGATCAATTTATTGAATTATAAAGATTTCGCAATTAATTTTAATCGTTGAATTTTGTTGTTCTCAATAAATCTTTCATATTTTTGCCTGCTATACCTATATGTTTTTTCCATTATAGTACGTAGTACAATAATGAAATCATTATAGCATTTAGGACTATAATGAAATCATTAAGTACTCAATCCAATTAAGTATGTCATGTTAACACTACAAAGAGACCATAATAATGTCATTTTGACACGCCGGAATATAAAAGTTGTTACTGCACATTAGCGCATAGGTACCTAATTATCTAATAAAAATAAATAGGTCACAAATTTGAAATAAGGTGAAATATCCACAATCAGTAATTTATTGCAGAGCTCAATTTTATCATGCAATAAATAAAACATAAATTCGCCTTCCTATTAAATAGTTAATTATTAGGAGATTAAACTTGTCACAAAAACTATTTTGAAAAGGTTTACAGTGTAAGATTGATTGATCACTGGGTTTAGTAGGTATATAAAATGCGTTTTTGACCATTGAAAAAAGGTAGTATTTACTTATATCAGCAAAATGAAAAGTGTATTTATTTTATTTGGCTTGCTGGCCAGTTCTTGTGCATTTCCTTCGGAAGAGGTAAGAATTATATTTGTTATTATTCCACTTTTGAAATTTCGGAAATTAATGACTCACTACATAAAACTAACTGCGATTTCTATGATACTTACCTATACACAGAGATAAATACTATATAAACTGTCGAGAATGGAATCTCAATGTTAATTTTGTTGTCAACAAAATTGAGCCAAGCCAGCGCTATCTACCATATCGGAAACTCACTATTTACTGGTTTTTTATCGACGCTACAGACACCTACTTTACATAGGGCTTCAAGGCATTTTTATGATAGATGGCGCCCTGTTCACATTACAGTCGGTCTGTTCAAATTTGTTTATTCTAGACTTTGGGACTTTAATATTCACTTAAATTAATTGATGTTTTGTTAATTAGATCAAAAGACAGTTCCTTTATCGATGGTTAAAGATATCCTTAACATATTTATTCAAAAGTTCTGATTGATGTTTAATTGAACCTGTCATTCATCTAATCAACAAAGATAAAAATAGATCTTCCAATCTATAAAGTTTGGAGGTCTTCGTGAAACACACAAAACCACTTTGAAATCACTAAGAAACACTTGACAACACAGAGGAAGACGAAATGCAAGACCGGCGAACGAAAAACATTATGAATTATTAGTTATGATCAAATGAATATTTTGGCATATTGTCATATGTTGACATGTCAATCTCATGTCAATGTTATCGACATCGGACGTGTTCTTGATGTGCTGGTATTTTATTTACAATTCTGTTGTTGTCAGCGACATCTAGAAAAACGGAAAAGAGTTATTATGTGGTTTATTACTGGCAATAGGAGATCGCAGGGCCTGCCTATACATCACTGTCATATAATTATTATTGAACCCACTTAAGAGAGGTTATTTTTTTTCAATGATACTTGATTTTTTGGGGCTCTTTGGAAATATGTATCTGCACACTGCACACCATTCTATTGTATGATTAGGAAAACTGGAAAAAATGTCGCTCGCTTTTACTATGGGTCCCTATTTTTATTTATTATATACATATATCAACACTTTCGCCAAGGTGTATTGCTTCATCGGACTTACTAAATCTATGGCTCATTCACTATACATACTGTCACGGCTCTGGTGTGCGTGACAGAAATCTTGGGTTCGTTGTTCCTTTATTCCAAAATCGAAGTCCAATTAACACAGCAATAATTTATTCCACGTAACTATACACTCTGACACTAATTACTTTAATAACTAACTCAACAATTAAACTCTTTACAACTCGCAACAATAATCACTATTTAAATCTTATAACAGCCAAACTTAAACTTGAAACTACCAAGTAACACCGGCCTTTATATATCCCTAAATCTATTCATGTACAATCTAGAATACACGCGATAACTATCCTTCTCAAAAACACCGCAGGAATCCCGCTAAATTGAGTTCTTGACATCCTGGCGGCGGCGTTATTCTGGCGGCGGCGTTATTCTGGCAGCGGCGTTATCGTAAAAATACCTAAACCCGGTTTGCCACCTCAAATTTATCGTGGTATCGTGCTGACGCCACCATATTATCACAACTGCCCGCTTTACGGGGGTGACATGGGGGGTTTGTAGCTTTGGGGGTTGATGGAGAGAAACTCGCTCAGGTTATATAAAAATATAGATATCTATTTTCCCAAATATAACCTTACATGTACGCTACTCCTATAAGATACATGACCCTTCGAACACTGGGGTCCTTATAGGAAGGCACACGTCAACGCTGCTTGGGAGACTGTAGATTAGTTTATCGTCACCCTTATGCCTTGTCCAGAGGGGCGTTCCCAACGAGAGGTAATTGCACTGGACAACGATAAGGCTGAAGATACCCAGAGGGGCGTTCCCAATGAGAGGTACTTGCACTGGGGAGACTTAATTCCAGAGGGGCTTTTCCAACGAGAGGTACTTGCACTGGTTTAAGTCTGCCTTTCCTGCGGCTTGCAGCGCAATTTATATCAATTTATTGCTGAATTGCAATAAACATCCGACCGAATCGGCAATTAAATTAATAAGGTTGAATACCGGGTCCTCCTTTCCTAAGCAGCTAGTTGACAATATTTCCAATGGGAAATTTCTAAATCACTTGTTCCACACCCTCAAGAAGTAACTAGCATAGGTGGTGTATTTTTTATGGTGGTTCCTCCCAGTAGGCCTAATCCACCTACAGAATTTCATGGATAGTTTGAAGACTTGAAGTAAAATAATCTCTTACGCGTAAATTTGTATTGATGGCTGTAAGTGCCAAGGGGCTGTAATCTGCCCTTTTTGTTCAAATTTGTCGGAATGAAAAGTGACGTCGATCCTTTTTGAAACTTTGCTATTCCCAGAATCCATGTTGAAAAAGCACTGTCCTCACATCAACGTCCAAGAGTAAGACCGCCAACGATTTTTTTGGCGCCCATCAAGAGTTCGATTGTCATGTCCGACCGTGTTCCATTCTAAAATTTGGACGAGCGCCCAGTTGTGAGACGGTCTGATAGGGTATAGTATTTTACATTATTAGCCAGGTAAAACAGTTTTTACTGGCGATTGAAGGAAATGACTAGCGAGCCGCCAGGCGAGCTTGTCACCTTCAAGAGCCAGTAAAAACTGCTACCTGGCGTATAATGTACAATAATTTATTTGTTACTCATTTGTAAAAGATATAGGGACAAATAAAAAATCAAAACATAACAAAAATTTGAAATTTATATGCTTTTCCTTGATTTTTTCTCACAGAAGTTTTGGTAGTTGGTATAACTATGAGAATGATACGTTGTTAAGACGTTGTTTCTAGTTATAAATAGGTTTTTTGACAGATTTCCATTTTGCAATTTTTTTCCAGAAATGAATTTATTACAAGATATTATTAATGAAGCTGCAGTCGTAGCCAACAGTTTATCACCAGAAAAGTCTCCCAGAAGGTACCTACAAGCAATTATTCTTGTGATAAAACCGATTTTTCAAAAATAAATAATTCTACTGACTTGTAAAAAGTTTTTACAGTTTAGCTGTCAATTTTACAAGTCAGTAGAGCCCAATGAACTAGAGCTAAAAACTGGAATGCGCACACAGTGCCATATCTGCCAAAAAAATGAAGCCATGAAAGACAGATGCCACAACGGGGAATGTTGTCTTTTTCTGTTGCTCGCTGACATATGACGTTTTCGAATGTTTTGTCATATTTTCCTTCACAGGTTTCATCAATTGGAATACGTGTTGGAAGCCAATTTTCGCCATTTAACATAATGAGTGCGACAAAAACAGGTATCCCCTCCGCAGCAGCCGCACTAGGCTTCACGTTCGTCCTTATTTGTTAGCATTCCAGTTTTTGGTTATAGTTCATTGGTAGAGCCAGTAGCTTGTAAAAATCAATTTTCGCTGGTTATGTTTTGACTTGATAAGTGACGTTTTACAAATGAGTGACAAATAAAAATTGTATCTGGTCTAATGTATTATTTAAATTTATTGTCGTAGGTATAGTAAACCGAAAATAAAATTATTTAAAAAACCTATTTTTGTTGCCATAACTATTCTCAGTACCTATGGCGGCATGAGCAGGAAAAAATTGTGATAGCAAAGTGAAAATTCGAATAGAGTGCCTTAAGAGTGCGCTTCTCGATGCTGTAAAAATAGGTATTTCGCATTCGCGACTATGCTGTTTTAATAAAAACAGTTGCATCTAGGGAATTCTAACAAAAACTGTTTTTAAGAATGTACTTTTGTGCTTGCTTGACCAGTATTTTTTTTTTAATTTCTCATTTTTTGAAAAAAAAAAAAAAATCATAAAATGAGAAAAATCAAAAAAAATTTACTGGTCAAACAAGCACATAAACATATCCTTGAAACAATTTATCGGTTAAAATTTCCTAGATGCAACTGTTTTTATTAAAATAGCAAAGGCGCACTCGCGATTTTCAGCATCGAGAAGCGCACTCTTAAAATCCATAATACAATTACCAAAACTTACCAGGCTAAACCTACCTACTTCTTGCACATCCTTTTTTGTCAAAATATATTCCAAATTCAGTTGTCGTAGTCACTTTGCTACCTAGGTAGGTACTTCCTATACTACCGCTGGCTGCTACGACAGTCTTCTTCTTCTTCTTCTTCCTCAGCAACTTCTAGTCGACTCCTAAACATAGACCTTTCCTAATTATTTCCACTGATTCCTAGTTTGGGCCTACTGATACCAATTTCCACCTGCTATTTTCCTTATGTCATCCGCCAACCGCAGTGAGGGTCTGCCTATACTGCGTTTTGTCTCTCTCAGTCTCCATTTAACGATCCTTGATGATCATCTCTCATCCTTCAGCCTTGCTACGTGGCCCGCCCACTGCCATTTCAGTTCTGCAATCCTTTCAATTAGGTCTTTGACCTTGGTTTTTTTCCGAATCTCATCATTTGATATTCTATCCCTCAGACTGATACCGAGCATTGACCTTTCCATTGCCCTCTCCATTACTCGGAATTTGTTGGCACTTGTTTGGATATTAGCAACTGTTTCCATTCCGTATGTTGCAACATGTAGAACACAGGCGTTGAAAACTTTACGTCTTAGATTTATGGGGATATCGTTATTTCTTAATATGTAGGTATGCAAGTTTACCAAATGCCGCCCAGGAGAGTTTTATTTGCCTTGATATTTCCTCTGATTGGTTTTCCTTTCCTAGTGATAAAATATGACCCAAGTAATTGTATTCTTTTACATTTTCGATGACAGAGTTATCTATATAGAACCGTGAATTTATTGGACACATTATTTTTGTCTTTGCAATGTTTATTTTTAGCCCCATGCTTTTCGATTCTTCGTTTAGCTCTTGAAGCATTGACTCGATCTCTTTTATATCGTCTGATATTAGCACAATATCATCTGCAAATCTGAGGTTGTTTAGAAATATTCCATCGATCATGATTCCCTTGTTTTCCCACCTGAGATTTTTGAAAACGTCCTCAAGAGTAAATGAAAATAACTTCGGCGAAATAGTGTCTCCCTGTCGTACTGCGCATTTAAC